AGTCCGTACGGGTATGTCCGCTCCTTCGTACCAAGCAGAGATGTGGACGCGTCCCTTTGTAGATAATAAATGGCGGGGTAGCGTATCCCGCAGCGCAGATGCTCTGGATAACAGTAACCCACTCGCGATTGCCTGGCTGAACAAGAGTAGGTCTTGTACGACGTTCTGAACCTGTAACTACCTTCATTGAACCAATTACACCCATCTGAAAGCCAGTTTCGTCAAAGTTGTGGATGTCGTCTAAATCAACCCCATACTTCTCAATTGTCTCTCGTACGAGGTTAAACCACGCGTTAATAATCTCTGGGTCCTCTTGCTAAACTCTCTGACGATCCTTTGCTTGATTGAAGGCTGTTCTAAGCTCGTCCGTACGCGATACGAACCGCTCTGGCCAGTTCTTGCCTAAAGGCTGGCCATCTCGTACGCGTAGTAGTTTTTCTGCCATATCTGCTACTTCACATAGACGGGGGGCAAATCCTCGCGAGTCTAGGTCAAGAATGTATCGTACGATAGTTTGCTCTTCAGATTTAGTTAGCTTCTGGCAATTTGGCTGCGTCGTAGGTCGAAAGGTGATTCCTTGAAGCCGCCGAGAGATCTGCTGATGATGGACGTTATAGGCTGCTGCAGCGCGTCGAATGCTCTTAAACTGGCCTGTACGATAGGCCTGAACTGCTAGAGTAAGCCTACCCTCTTGCTGAGTAAATATCACGTTCTGTTGTTGAGGCATTGTCTTTCGTACGTGAAGTTCGCGATGCCAAGAAAAAGTGGCACTCTCGGTGGGGTGGCACTCTCGGTGGTGGAATACGTTATATATATATATATATTTATACATATACACACATATACATATATATATATATATATTTATACATACACACACATATATACATATATATATACATACATACATACACACACATATACATATATAGTACTACAATTAAGTAAGTAGTAAAAGGGTATTGTATTTTAGGGGAAAAAAAAGGACGAGTAACAGGAGCTTATTTGTTTTATGAGTGATTTCAGCGTGCAGACGCAGCGGCTTTCGCAACGAAGTAGAGTATACAATATAGAATAGTGGTAAGGTAATATACCTAATCCACAATAGGTAGGCAGTATTATAACATAGTGTCTGCGAAGAGCGAGTCTTCAGCAAACACGAAACGTCGTTCATGAATAGACTTTGCTGCACTTCATCCCGATAAAGCATTCACAACTCATGAAAAAAAATATAGACATATAGTCATCATGGCATCCTTGCGCCTAATTTTGTGCTATCTAGTCATTTTCATTCTCAGAGTCATTATCTTAACAATCGCCAATTTGTGAAAAATGTCTTGCTCACTTGACCAGCTTGCAAACAAGATCACCAGAGTCGACAGAGTCTCCCTCTCGGACAGACAGGTTGCTGACCTTACCAGAGTGTGGTGCGGAAATAACCATCTCCATCTTCATGGCGCTGAGGATAGCAACAGGGTCACCCTTCTTGACATCGCTGCCGTCGTGAACACGCACCTCAACCAAGACACCAGACATGGGCGATCCGACTTGGCTGCTGTCTGTGGGATCGGCCTTGGGTCGTGAAACGTTCTCAATGGCCGCGTGCTGGTCCTCAACCGTCACTGTACGGGTCTCGCCGTTCATCTCGTAGAAGACCTCACGAAGTCCGGTTTGCTCGGAAAGAGGTCCAATGGCCAGAAGCTTAAGGATCAGGACCTTACCCTTCTCGAGCTCGACGTGGAACTCCTCACCAATCTCAGGCTTGGACAAGAAGTAGCGAGTGGGCAGAACAGAGAGGTCTCCGTACTTGGTTGTCCACTTCTTGTAGTCTTCAAAGACCTTGGGGTACATGATGTAGGATGCTACATCACACTCTGTGGCGTCACCCCACTTGGCCTTGAGGTCAGCCTTGGTCTTGACGATATCGACGGGATCGAGGTAGAGACCAGGGCGCTTGTCCATCTTCCTTCGGCCACGGAGGGCTTGTGTGCGAAGGGGCTCGGGGAAGCCGCCGTATGGCTGGCCCATGAGTCCCTCGAAGAATTCCAGGACTGAAGATGGGAAGTCAAGCTGCTCAGCCTTGGCCAGAACATCGTCGTAAGAAAGCTTGTTGGAGACCATGAACTGAGCCAAGTCACCAACAACCTTGGATGTGGGAGTGACCTTGACAATGTCGCCGAGCAAGTCGTTGGCCTGTTCGTAGGCCTTCTTGGTCTGAGCCCACTGCTCACCAAGACCCTGTTGGGAAGCCTGGAAGATGAGGTTCGTGAGTTGACCTCCTGGAATCTCATGCTCGTAGACCTCAGGGTCAGGACCCGTCAGACCAGCCTCGAACGGAGAGTAGAGAAGACGAAGCTGAGCCCAGTAGGCATCGAGGTTGCGGATCATGTGGGCATCCAGACCGGCGTCGAACTCGGTACCCTCCAGGGATGCAAGAATAGCACCCACACTGGGCTGAGAGGTCATACCCGACATGCTGTCGATAGCGGCATCAACAGCGTCTGCGCCAGCCTCGGCGCAAGCAGCCATGGATGCAACACCGGTACCAGCAGAGTCGTGTGTGTGGACGTGGATAGGCAGATCGGGGTACTTCTTGCGGATGGTGCTAACCAAAAGGCGAGCAGCACGAGGCTTGAGCACACCAGCCACTGTAGTCGAGTTAGTGTATGTTTCACAACAATGTCCCACTTGGTGTTACGTACTGTCCTTGATTCCGAGAACGTGGGCGCCCATGTTGACAATCTTCTCAACAATGCCCAAGTAGTACTCCAAGTTGTACTTCTTCTTTGGGTTCAACATATCACCCGAAATGCAGACGGTACCTTCAGCGACACCGCCAGCCTTGATGACGGCCTTGATACCGACCTCAAGTTGCTCGACATCGTTCAGCGCGTCGAAGACACGGAAGATGTCAACACCATTCTTCTTTGCCTGCTCGCAGAAGTGGAAGATGGCGTTGTCGGGAAGAGAAGAGTATGCGACACCGTTGGCACCGCGAAGAAGCATTTGGAAGGGAATGTTGGGCACAAGCTTTCTCATCTTCCTGAGACGGTCCCAAGGATCTTCGTAAAGGAAGCGCATGGCCACGTCGAAAGTGGCTCCTCCCCAGCACTCGAGAGCCCAGGCATTGGAGTAGGCATGGCTAGTCTCCTTGGCAATGTTGAGCAGATCAACAGTTCGGACACGAGTAGCAAGGAGCGACTGATGGGCATCACGCCAGGTCGTGTCCATGATCAGACAGCCCTTGTTGGCACGCACAGCCTTTGCAAAGCCCTCAGGGCCTTCCTTGAGAATCACGTTCCTCCAGCCCTCGGTGCAAGGAGCAGAAGTATCAATCTTCTTGCCATCCTTGTTGTGGATGGCTGGGATAGGGATAGCACCCTTGAACTTGGGCTCGCCAATCTGTCCCTTGATCTGACTGCCGTTGACAGCTAGGTCGCCGAGGTATGCGAGGAGCTTCTGAGCACGGTTCTGAGATCCAATCAAGTCGAAGAGCGCCGGTGTGTCGTCGATGAAAGTAGTCCAGCACTGACCGTCGACAAACGTAGGGTGTGTGAGCAGCTTGATCAAGAAGGGAATGTTGGTCTTGACTCCACGAATACGGAACTCGACCAGTGCACGAAGCATCTTACGGCGCACGATTTCGTATGTTGAACCACGGCAAGAACACTTGACCAACATGGAATCGTAGTGAGCTTCACAATGGTTAGCATACATCCAGCTCGGCAGCAAAGAAGCAAAAGGGTATACTCACGAGTAATGATGGCTCCTGCGAATCCATTACCACCGTCAAGACTACACCAGTGTCAGCAGATATCAATGCAGAGCGCGTGGCTGTACATACCGGACGCCGTTTCCACCAGCGGAACGGTAGACCTCAATCTTTCCAGTGTCAGGAGCAAAGCTCTGGGCGGGGTCTTCTGTGGTGATACGGCATTGGAAGGCAAAGCCGCGAGTAGAGATGTGGTCCTGAGTCAGGCCAAGCTGCTCAAGAGATGCACCAGCAGCAATCTGAATCTGCGCAGCAACGATATCGATGCCGGTAACCTCCTCGGTAATGGTGTGCTCGACCTGAATACGTGGGTTGATCCTGGGAAGAGTTAGTGTCAGTAAGCCAAATCGCGTTGTTGCACATACTCAATGAAGTAGTAGCGGTTCTGCTGGTCAACCAGGAACTCAGCAGTACCAGCGTTTCGGTACTTGACACTCTGTGCCAGCCTGACAGCGTCGGCAAGAATAGCATCGCGGGTCTCGACCGGGAGATCCTTGGCGGGAGCAATCTCAACAACCTTTTGGTGACGACGCTGGACACTGCAGTCACGCTCGTACAGATGGACGACGTTGCCCTGGTTGTCACCCAAAAGCTGGACCTCAATGTGCTTGGGCTTGTCGAGGAAGCGCTCAATGAAGACGGTTCCGTTGCCGAAAGCCGACTTGGCCTCTGATGTGGCACGCTCAAACGAGTCCTTGAGCGTCGACTGCTCGCGGACTACACGCATGCCACGGCCACCACCACCAAAGGCAGCCTTGATGATGATGGGAAATCCATATTCATCAGTAAAGGCCTTGGCATCCTCGAACCTGTCCACTGGGCCAGGGGTGCCCGGCACGACGGGGACGTTGCACTTGACGGCAAGCTTACGGGCAGAGACCTTGTCGCCGAGAGCGTCAATGGTGTCGGGAGAGGGGCCTACAAACTAAAAAGCAAAAATAATTAGCTCCACTGGCACGCGGCATGGGTAAATGCAAATGGGTAATGGTGGCTGCTGCTATCTGTCCGTGGAGGATCGCCGCCGGTCAGATGGATCATCGGCCCCGCCAAGGGCTTAACGCGATAGGCTCAGCGGCGGGCGATAGGCAGCGGTAGCCCCTCCACGCGATTTCGTCATAGCGTAAACAACGCGGGAAAACTCACAATGAGGCCGGCCTTCTCGACGTTGCGGGCAAACTCTGCGTTCTCCGACAGGAAGCCATAGCCCGGGTGAATCATGTTCACATTGTGTTCGACGGCAATCTTGATGATCTCGTCGCCTGCCAGGTAGGCGCCGACGGGCGAGTACTGGCCCCGCGCGCCGATCTCATAGGCCTCGTCGGCCTTTTGCCTGTGCATGCTGAGGCGGTCCTCGTGACTGTAGACTGCCACCGTGTGCAGAGACAGCTCGTGGGCTGTACGGAAGATGCGAATGGGGATCTCTCCTCGGTTGGCCACTGGCGGAGCACTGTTAGAGCGGCCCGGGGGGCGGTTCGTGAGCCATTGAGAGCCGTCAACGTACCCAGCAGCTTCTTCAGCTGCATGATGGAGCTGCTCGCTCGCAGCCGGTGGTGCACCGAGTTCCTGTGGGGGTGGTGCTCGCCATGCTCCTCGTCGAACTCGTTGTCGTCAATGGCCGACGAGCTGGCCGGATCAGCTGCAAGCGCCGACATGGTGGTGGGCAGCTGTGTGTGTGGGCGTGGGTGAGGGGGAGGGGGAGGAGAGGAATTGGGCGGGGGGGGGGAGAAGGAGAGGGTGAGAGAAGGAGGGGAGGGGAGGACTGAGAGCGGTCGAGGTGAGCAGCTACGCGGCCAATTTATTATGGCAGCGCCTATCGGATGAGCACAGCGTGCTGGAGCAGCGGATGGCGTTTCATCGAGTCACGAACAGCGCTGGGCAGGAGCTTATTCCCAAACCAGAGCCACAAGGCCAGACCGGAGCCAACCGCGGTCGACCAGCTGCGATTCCGTCGGCGTCAAAAGCAACCACACTCGAGCTGCATGCCGCGGCCTGGTCAGAGCTTCACCGGGCGCGGGGGAGAGGGGAGAGGGAGCTGGAGCTCGGCCTTGGAGGGGCACTGGGGGGCGCTTGGCCGCTGCAATCCGCGACCTCATGCTTTTTTGTCCAAACACTCCCCGTGTCCCCCCCGTCTGACATGATGGCTGCTGTCACGCCTGCGCCCAAGACATATAAAACACCCGCCCGCCCACGGCGGAGCCTCAAACACGCGCAAATGCCATCCAAGCCCTTCCCCACGCCGTCGACGCACATGCACATGCAGCAGCCACCCAGCACGGCCTATCGTCTGGTGGGCTGCTGGCACCGGCGCCGTGAGCCTTTCACCGCTGCTGCCACTGCTGCCGCCCTTGCTATGGCTGCTGCTGCTACTGCTGCTACTGCTACTGCTACTGCTGCTGCTACCGCCCGCCGCCCATCTGTGGCGGCCCCAAGCGAGCCATTCGCCTGTCCACGTCTGCGCCCGGATTAAGTTCGGGCTTTTTTTGCTCGACGCCGCTAAGGGCTCTTTTCCAGGGCCGAGAACCCCGCAGTCCGGTGTACCCTAAACTCGCACTCGAAACCGCTGGATACCGCTAACGCTTTGGGAAACCTTATTCACACATCTGCCTATGCTTGGCCGGCGATCGCACACTCGCTATACTCTATACATCAGCAATACATCAAGCGGCCACCCTCCCGTGTCGCAGCTATAGGGTCGCCCCAAGACGCGTCCACGCATTAGACATGTCTGCCAAGAGACGCCAGACAGTCCAGCAAAACGATATACAATCCATCCAAATCTAATCCAGCCATGTGAGACGACCCGTTGTAAATCCAAAATAGTCGTTGTTAGCTGAGTGTCGATCCTGCACCAAAGACTAGATCATCACACATGGTCTATATTCAGACATCGCTGTCAACCCTACACTCTTCTACTGGGAGACTTTCCTCGCCAATACTTGTACGAATGCCTTCAAATCTTTGCCAAGATAATCATCTACTCGTGCAACCGTCCCATACACACGTGACTTGTAGTACGTAGTAGAGGTCCATGCACTCACGTGACTTTACGTTCACTCTGTATACTATCCACCTCTTCATACTCGTGGAGTCGTATATTCTGCTGGTATACTAGGTAAGCTAATCCACACCTCATGCTGTGCTTATTCACTCCATGCAGAACTCCCATTGTACACACTCGTCCCACAATCGCTAGTAAGCCTAGATCACTATTGCACACTACATTGCTACAAGTTACTAAACTACCATCGCACATTAGATTACCATTGCGTTCTCAATCCCAGCTAATACTAGAATTCACACTAAGCACCGGGATCAATCACTCTCAAATCAGAAGGCTAGACCAGAAACCAATTCTACCCTGTACCCTGAACAAAAACATCCCCCGCTCAGAGTAAAACCAAACAAATCCCCAAAGTTTAATAATAAAAAGAAAGTGTCCCCCGCAAGCGGAGATACCTCATGTCGGAATGTTAGCAAGAGCAGCAGCAGCAGCAGTAGTAGTAGTAGTATTCACTCCGGCACCGAAAACAGCCGCTAAGAACAAGCACAAGCTTCGTGTAGAAAGCCGACGAAGCGGATGCGCCTCTTACATAAGATAACATACAACCCCAGTCCGATATTAAAAACAAAAATTTGGTACAAGCTACAACCCTACTACACTTACACCCATACCGCCCTTACATATTACAACACACACACACACACACACACACACACCCCAATTCTCCACCCATAATTATGACCTAATATACCCCATCATTGCTACATCTCGTTTTCCACCAGAACCTAGATATTCAAGAGCCTTTTTCTCTCTCTCTCTCCCCAACAAGATACAAATAAAACATGACAAAATATTTCCATATACTACCTAGGTACAAGTAAATTAATGTGATGTAGTAACATGACACAGTTTTCTAGAATGCTTGGGTCGAATATCATAATAGCAGCAGCTATCAAGAGGGGTGTTATTAAAAAGTATCAGCTAAACTCTTGCTTGCAACTTGTTGCTACAATCATCATGCATGCGTCTTTCCATTCTACCAAGTGCAGATTCTCTACACCCTGCCTCTTGGCGCGTGAAAACTACCGAGGAAATAAATAAACAAGTAATACTCCTAATCCCTCATCTTTCATGGACAAATACAACAACATCAAGACACAAGCAGTCTTCAAACACATACTACACAATCATATACAGCTGAAAACGCGTCACAAGTCATGCAATTAACTAGGGTACCATGTGTCTAGAGATGCTCCATAAAGGGCCACCTCCAAATCATATAATAACCTCCAACGCCTGTAGAGTACATTCCTGCATACCGCCTAGATGTATGCACCTCACCCATACTTTTTCTACCCTCCACCAAACGTCAATGTTCAAATCGAAATTAGCCTGAATCAGCCCTCCTACCCAGAGAATCATGTCGCCCTCAGTACACATATCTAGAACGGTCGGAAGCCTCCAGTAGGTTGGCGCGCGATGCCATTAGCCTGTCCATATGGGCCTGGAGAGGGAGCTGAGCCAATCGGGCCTTGCGTAAGCATCAGGCGGGAACCCAGGATCGGAGTGTCTTCCTCCTTCTTCTGCTGCGAGGCTTCGCGGGCCTTGCGCTCTTCATTGTCCTTCTTCAGCATCTCAAGAGAAGCTGTCTGTTGGGCAATGAGGTTGATCATGTACGGCTGTGAATGCATTAGTGCGTGTTGTGTCATACAGAATGTCTGGTACATACCATAGTGAAATCGTGAAGACCATTGCGCCATGACATTTCGAGAATGACATCGGGGCGAATGAGATCGTAGCAGGCATAAAGCATGCCGACATAGCACTCGCGGCTACCAATGTCGACGAACTATGCAAATGATTAGTATGGAATACAGCAATGGCAGAGAACAACTTACGTAGCGAAGCAAGTCGTCGACAACGTCAGGCTTGCCAGATATCGCTGCGGTCTCAATCGCATCCTTGAACAGCTTGTCTTGCTTGGAAAGCGCAATAGACTTCTCCCATCGCTTGTTCTTGCGGTAGATATCGGCGGCAATCTGACGGAAGAACACCAAGTCGTGCTTCTCCAGGCGCTGTGCAAGATCCACAGGGTCATAGTTGTCGTAGTTGTTGACCGAGTCCCGAAGTGTCTTGTAGTCTTCCTCTTCAATCAGGAGATCGTGCAGCGCGTTGTTCACGTCGCGCTTGTTCTGCGACTGAACATTCAAGAGGAATGGTTTGATCAGAGGAATGTTGTCGGACTTGACAAACATTCGCACGACACGGTTGACGTCGATTCGCGGCGTGAGAACTTGCAACAAGTCCGTCAGCAGAGTGGGATGTTGCTCAAGATAGAAGCCGAGTGCGCGGTAGTAAATCTCAACATTCGACGACTTGACAATGGTAGTCTTGAAGCTCTCGTGCTCCCAAGCATCCGCAGCATGCTCGATCATAGCCATTACTGCATTGTCGTATTCTTCGAAGCTCGCCAGAAGCATGACCTTGGTCCGTCAGTCACTGAATCTCATCTAAACATCCTTCAAACTTACTTGTTCAGGCCAGAGATGCTCATTCTCACAAGCAATCAACATCTTGGGGATGTTGATACGGGCTGGGTGACCATTAGTTGGGGTTCATAAGGGGCTGGGAGATGTAACCTACTCCAGAAGAGGCGGAGATGCTCCATGAGTCGTTCAGGGTGGTACTTCGCAAGTGCTTCACCTAGCGCAGTGAACATGCCCATGTGTGCTGTAACGAGAGTAAATCATTAGTGAATGTTGTATTGAAATTGAGTCGGCACTCCTCACCTCTCTCCAAACCGAGACCAGCCTCAAGAAGGCTGATCAGCTCGTCAAAGTAGCCGTTGCGCTCGTACTGCTTGACTACCGAAACAACTTCAGAGCCATCGACAATCAAGTTCAAGCCACAGATCTGTGCGAGGCGGAATTCTTTCTTTTCCACACAGACCTCGTTGACCTGCTTCCACGTCTTGATCGAGTTGGCCTTCCTTGCGCATTCAACTGCACCCTGGTAGTCTTCAAGGTGTACAAGGGTTGTGGCAAGCTTAGCCCAGTTGGAAATGCTCGTGTAGAAGATCTTGGCCGCCTCATAGTAGCCCTCCTCGTAGGCCTTGTCTCCCGAAGCTTCAGCATCGGCAACGTTGGTAGCCCTGAGGAAATCCTCAAGTTCTGCTAATTGCTCCGTACGAGCAAAGCAGAATGCTAGGGCAGTATCGACGGGGACCTCACGGAGTGTCTTTCGTGCCATTCTCAAGTACTTGATCAAGTCCTCGTCTTTGCCAGCATGGGTAGCGATTTCGATGACTTCCAGGAAGTTGGACGGATCCTCTGCACGGATGTACGACTCGATAGAGTCTGAAACACGTAGACCATCCAGTTGAGCCTTTGCGACTCTGCTCCAGACCTCAGGTCGGTCGACGCGTTCGGCATACTCTTGTGCTCTGTCAATGCTGACAATGTGCTCGATCAAAACATTGGCAGCCTCAACATGGTTCTCATGCTTCTTGAAGATCTCAAAGGCTTCGTCGAACATGCCAACCTCAATACACTGCTGTGCAATGTCCTCGGGAGTATATTGGTCAAGTTGCTGAATGTAGTTCATAACTCTGCCGCGATCAGACTTGCAGGCGGTAAGCATCAGCAAGTTTTGAAGAGAGGGGTTATCGCTGAAAGTCGAAGGCTCAAGAATGATCTTCTCCAACAGTTCGATGAGCTCAGCGGGCATGTCACCAGTAATGAATGCCTTGACCGCAACAGAAACCTTGTCTGGATCAGTAGACGCAGGAACTGCTGTCGAAATGACTTGATCAACAAGTGATCGACGGTTCAGGTTGTTAGGACTGATGTAGAGTTAGCCAGGCTACACACCAGTGGGAAATAGCAAACGCGCTTACCTCAATACATAATCCCAAATCTCAGAATCCGCCCGATCCAAGAGGTAGCGTGCTTGGACCTTGAACATGGCGTTCTCGTTCGTGATGTTGACCAACTCGAGATCATTCTGACCTTTCATGTAGCAAATCGCCGCAAGGTTTGGATCACGCTTCTCGCAGTACTTTCCAACGATAAGGGTATCGTACTGGTCATTCTCTTTCAGGAACTTCTCGGGATTGTTGTTGCTGTCAATGTAGATCTTGGCAAGCGCGTTGTACACTGCTTGTTGCTGGTTGCCGCTGGCCAAAGTCTGTTCCAAGAAGGGGAGAAGGAGCTTCAGACGGTTGCGGGACTCGACCTCAGCGACCAACTCATCAATGGGAATGGACGATGGTGTAATGGAGGCTAGGAGACCCTTGATGATGCCCTCATCACAGTCCACGTCGAGGAGACCGCCGACAACTGCTGGGGTACGGGCAGGATTGACGCGCTGAACGTAGATTTCAATGGACTTGAACTGCTGCTTCTTGTAAAGGTGAAGAACCAGGTCGTGGACAAAGTTGAAACGGTCGCAGACAATGATGAGAGGCAATTGTTCGGTCAAGTTGGCCTCTTTCAAGAAGTTCTTCGCCTTTTCACCGTTGAGGTAATTACTCTCACGGCAGATGCGCTCAACCTCGTTGAGCTGGCCCATGGTGGTCGCTGCCTCAATGTACTTGAAGTGAACATCGGGGTCCTCGCTCACATTGACGATGGAGCCCAAGAAGAAGTACAGACCCTCGGCAGTGCGGTGCTTCTCGAGGAGATCGATAATCCTGTTAGCACCCAACAGGTCAGAGTACTTCTGGGCAATGCGAATAACGGCTTGCAGGTTTTGGCGGATGTTTGTTGTAAGCATGACATCCAGGCATTCGAGTGAAAGCTCTACCGTCAACTGACCGAAGTAGTTGATCAACCACTCCTCCGGAACCTTGTCGGTCTGAACAATGATGCGCTTAATAGCCGTTGGGTCGTCATTGTGCTCCAGAGCACGTGTGAGCAGGCCGGCATTTTCGCAAAGCTGAGCAATGCGCATCTTGTCATAGTGATGGAACATCTCATTGCCCAAAATGGCATCCGCAACCTGGGGTGCGTTGAGCAGGTTCATTTCGAGCAACTTGGTCTGCAGGTGACCCTCTTCAGGCAAGTCGTTGGAAAGGACATCCAACAGGAAGGCGGTAGCTTGCTGAATCATGCCTTGGGACTGGAAGATGTCGACAACGCGATCGATGCTGATCAGTGGGCCGCCCTCATTCTTCGCCAGTTGAGACGCAAACTCGGCACCCTTTTCTGGGTTGATACGGACGACATGTTGGAGTAGGACATTGTAGTCAGGAGTGTAGCCGACGCTGTTGCAATACTGGAGGATAAGATCGTAGTGACCGAGCTCCGCGAGTGCTGCAACAACCTTCTGGGGTACGTTTGCTTCCTTGTAGATGGCCAGAGCAAGGTTCAAATCGTGCGGTTTAGCAAGGTCACCGAGCTCCTCGGAGCAGTGAAGCTTGCCCTCCTTCTGCCACTTCTCGATGAGGTGTTTACGGCCCTGCGCAAACACAGGTCGAGCTAGCTCCAATGTTTCCTCCTTGTTCAGGCCGCCCTTGTCCAGCAATTGGCCAAAGTATTGTAGAAGCACAGTGATCTGACCAGGTTGGTTGGGAACTTGGCGTAACCTGTTGATCGTGTTCATCGTACGGAGGAAACCACGAGGTGAACTGGCCGCGACCTTGGCTGCCTCCGAAAAGTTTCCTTGTGACATGAGATTCTCGAATCGTTGCGAGTAGAGCTGGTCTGCGCCCGGGAGTCCGCCCTTTGACGCCAATTTGTATGCGATTTCGGCGCATGCCGGGTTCTCCATAATGTATGGAATCAGGGTGTCTTCGCGAACGGTCGTGTGGAGTACCTGTCCTCGCTTGTTGATGACGACCACACCCGTGCCTTCGTCATCGCGCGCAGTGGTGAAGACTGTTTCCTCGGATATTCTGTTCAGGAAGAGCGCGGTACCCGTCTCGAGATCGTGGAGGTGAATAAATCCAAACTTCGTGATTACGATTAGAATACCATACTTGTGCGCAATGTGAATGCCCAGCGGGAAATCGCCAGTACCCTCGGCGGGCCAATGGATCGGGATCAGGCGCTTCGGGAAGGCCGGATTCGCGGCGTTGTGGTCGACCTCGACAATGTTGATCTTGGCCTCGCCAGAGGATGACTTGACTGCGAAAGCGAAGATCTTGGTATCGGTCGATGCGCCATCGAGGCGGAGGGTTCCGAACGTAGCAGCATGGCCCTCGAGAGGCTGGCTCACATTTCTCGCCTTGGAGAAAAGCTGCATGTTGCCGCGGATACCACCGGCAGGGTTCGAGGTGATACCAACCAGGCAGGACCAGCTCTCGTCATCGTTGGTAACGTAATTGATGATCTGGTTGTTCTGCATTGCAAATTAGACATGGTTAGCGACATCTAGGCGGCTGTGCGTACCTCGAGCTGCTCTTGGCGGTCGAAGATCTTGCGCGGCGCAACAGCGTTCTTCGAGTCGAGGACATCCCAGTGGTATACGGCCTTTGTGCTAACGAGCGCAAGGGTGGTCTGACTGATCCACCTCCAAAACTGAATGTCCTCTTGGTGGCTGTATGTCTGCAGGCGTTCCTTGGTCTCGAGGTTGAACAGCTGCAGTGTCCGGCCTTGTGCCTTGAGCGCGATGATGGGCTCAGTCAAGTGCATAATGGCACTGTCGGCGCGGATTGGTCTTCGGATGATATTATTCGTGTTCTTGAGGTCGATAATAACAGTCTCGGCGGGCGCATTGGCTTCGTTGTTGACCTGGCGCACACAAACATACTTGTCGGACTCGAGTGTCTAGACGTCCCATTAGCATTCCTGCTTCCCTGGATTTCTTGCTGTAGAGCCACGTACACAGTTCTGCCATGATATCGATGCTGGCTGTAGTGTGTGTTAGCCTTCTGAACCTTGCTGCCTGATCCTACTGCCAACTTGGCCTAGGGCCGACGTACGAGGATGTTTAGGTTCGTAAGCTGCCAATTGTTAGCTCCAGATACCATACAATGCATAGTTCTGATCGGCAACATACCAGCGTCGGCTGTGTGACGTGCAATGGAACCTGTCGCTGGGCCATGTTTGCGACAGTTTAGCTCTGAGCTCACCAGAGCAAGGGAGTGCGCAAGAAGAGGGTATCGGGAAAGAGGAAAGAAGTAGACCCAGATGGAAACTCCAGAAGCGCGCGATATGTAAATGAGAGACAAGAGTTCAAGGCGGGGTGGGGGTTGTAAAAGGTGATGCTGTTCGAGCCAGGAGCTCCTCGTGTTGTTTCCACATACGCGGGATCGCCCTGCCCGTGATGACATAAGCACCTAATTGGGCAAGTCCAAAGTTAGTTTCCGGTGACGTCTCTCACCACGCCCCATCCGTGCGTTGGGTGACTTGAATTTCGAACATCAAAACTTGCTTAGTAGCCCCCAGTGTTATTTCTTTTTAGTGACTACATGTTGGAATTTATCAACAAAATACTCACTAAAATCGCCTTCAAATCCACACTGACCTTTCTATCACCGCGGTACAATCCGCTTTAAATCGTGAAAGTTCCAATCTCACCATATTTAGATCGCCGCAGCAACACCAACTTCGAGTTTTTCAGAATAGGTGTAATTTTAGTCTATTATATACAAAGAAACCCCAAGAAATCGATTGCAACCACTGCCAAAACGTGCAACCTACGCGCTGTGCTGCTAGAAGCCTTCAAAGTAGACCCTATTGGACACATCGCATTCTAATCACAGAACACACAGACCACGCGGATTACTAAGCAGAATGCCACCAGATAACGTGCAGGGTCAGTAAGCTGGGCAGATCAGTAAGCTGGGCACCCCACCAAACTTCGCGCGACGTTCTGCGCAATTGAGCCACAACAACGTATTAAAATAATATAAAATTAAGATATATAGTTTACTATTTAGCTCTACATAAAGTCTAAGTATGTCCTTTAACGTGACACTTCGTGCACGTTAGCGGCGCGCGCTGACGTCGCTCACTAGCCTGGTTCTAGCTACCCCCTATAAGTAACCTTTCTGCCTTTGCTACAAGCTGCTGAGCCTGCTGCACCTGGAGTACCCCACTAGAAGCAATATATTAACGCTGTTAATCTTGCTTTTGCCGCTGACGCTAGTTCTTTTCACGTAGCTTCTTATTCTCCTCTGCAAGTATCGTTGCTAATTGCATTGTAAGCTAAGCGCTCTTAGCAAGCTGGCGTATCGCAACGCTTGTTGGACTCTCTAGCTGCTGGCGCAGTCGCTCTTGGAGATACCGCACCTGCTGCTGAAGCTCTGCTACTGTATGTGGTGTCTCTGTCTGCGTTGCTGCCTGCGCTGTAGTGTTATTATCTGTGGTTGTCTGTGGTGGAGACGGTGTTCTGGCTACTGTGAGCGACGATAGAACGCGATCTAGACAAGGAGGGACAAGCCCTGTCGCCCGAAAGCCTGCCTGGATATTCTGCTGCGTAAAAATCTTCAGCCGGATCCGTGTATAGGCTGCAAGGAAGTCTATCTTGTCAACGTGGTAGACCCCATGCTGGGCGAGCTCCTCAACCTCACGTCCGTACGCGCG